TTTTTTTTTTTTTTTTTTTATTTTTTTATTTTACTTTTTCTATTTGGTATTTTTCTAAGGCAGTACACCGCTTTGTCCATGTTTCTGTCGTAAACTCAGCCTAATCTCTGACGCTTCTGGCTCTCACTTTCATTTGTCTTTGGTCGTGATGGCACTTTGCGCGGCTACTGTACTCCAGGCAGGAGGAGACCTGCTGGTGGATGAGGGCGCACACCTCGTTTGAATACCTCAGTTTATGAAAAGGTGTTTTCGTCACAAGGGTTTTGTCACAATTGCGCTGAAAATAAGAACTCGTCTTCTGGATCGTCGCCTAATCGCCTGGGTTTAGATTCCATCTACCTTCGTTGTGCCGCTTTCCTGCCGTTAGCCGCTGTAGCCGGCCATCCTGCGCTGTAACATGACGCTGAGGCACTAACATTATTTTCTCTAAGAAAACAAGCCAGCCAACAAAAACTGGGCATGGAGTCCATGAAGACGAAAGCCGCGACAGGGGTCAAGGAATTTGCGGGGAAGACCCTGGGTCAGATGTACAGGTAGGGGTAGGATTTGTTGGTTTCTTCTTGCGCCTTTTAATTAGGCAACTTAATGCTAATTTGCTGGATTTTCACAACCTTATATTACAGTGTTTGTATGGGCTAAATCAATGTCTTAATGATTCATAAGAAACTGCAGTCGCACCGCTACAAGTGAGAGTAATATTATGTAATCCCACGAGCGTGCGTGTGAGCAATCTTTGCAGGATTTGGATGCCTCTGGATGATGGGGCCTTTACATGCAGTTTATTGGCAAATAAGGATTGGCGTACTGATTTCTCAATGTTTAACGACAGTTTAATCATTTCGAATGACTCTGTTTGCCTTAATATAAATCAGAAATCCTTTTTTTACGATCCCCAAATTGCATTTATTCTATTACGTTTTTTTTTTTCATGGGTAGTCGAAAAATGCATTTCTCAAGGCTATTAGTGGCATTTATAGAACACTTATCCCCATTCTGGATTTTTGTTTCAGCTTTAGATAGGCCTACGCATGGTCCATTGTACACTTGAAGTGAAATAAATCTGAATTAGTATTGTAATCAGGATCAAGGCCTTTACTAATTTATTTTACAGTAGATTTTATGAATTCTTTATAAGTGACACCGTCTGCTCATCGTAGCCAGGTTTTAAATGGGTGTGTGCGCCTTTTTTCTTTCTTTCTTTTTTTTTGCCATCGGAATGTTTGGGATATCAGTTTGTAAATGAACGTGATTTTGCTGAGGATGGGGTGGGGTGGGGGGATGTTCGAGGAAAGCCCACAGACGAGTGTCTGCAGGCGGGAGCTGGTACTGTGTCCCTGAATACTAATGAGCGAGAAAGTAAAAGGCTGCTGCAATGCGGTACAGTCAAGAACATTTTGATCCTCTTTTCATTTTACAGGCCAAACTTCTTTTTTGTTTCTATTTCTTTGAGTTTATTTATTTTGAGCACACACGTTGTTGTTTCTTATGTATTTGTGTTATTTATTCTGGGTTTTTGTTTAATCCTAAACGTAATAAAGTGTGATGGCGCAATGGGATGGTGAAACATATTGATGTTTGTTCCAGAGGCCTCATCAGGCACATTTGCCATTGTAATTCTCATTATTAGGTGAAATAATTTTTGGATAACACCCTCAAATCAAAGCCCATAGTTTACAATAAAAGATCCTGAAAAATGCTTGGAGATTATCTTCCCCTTTTTAAGATGACCTTGTTTTTTGGTTTAGATTATTTCAAACAGCATCCCGATCTCATATGAAGAATAGTGTTTGAGTCAGGACTCAGCAGGCGGTGTTTCCTTCACCTGTCTGCAGGGTGATAGAGAGGAGACAGAAAACAGGAGAGGTGATCGAGCTGACTGAGGATGGGAGGCCTCGGGAGGCCGCCGAGAAGAAACCTCCTCTATGTGATTGCAAGTGCTTCGGTTTGCCGCGCCGGTACATCATCGCCATCATGAGTGGCTTGGGTTTCTGCATCTCCTTCGGCATCCGATGCAACCTGGGCGTGGCAATCGTGAGCATGGTTAATAACAGCACCATCCACCAGAACGGCAAGATTATCATCAAGGAGGTGGGACTAACGCAGACACGCTTTTACGCATGTTGGGAAAAAATCTGATGAACATCCATAAGATTATATTTTTAATTTAGTTTGAAAGGAAAACGAAAAAACAAAAAAAGCGAGTGTATTTACCATAGCTATAAGGCCTGTTGCAGCCTATATGTATCAATAGAATAATCCATTCAACAATCTCCATTTACTCATCTTCATTATGTATAATAAACGTTCAAAACAGCCTGATATACAGTAATGTAAAGCCGGCTGACATTTTATGTAACGCAAATTATTTAATGTTTTTTGTTTTTTGTTTTTTTTTGATTCCCCAGTTGGGTTTATTTAATTTATTTTTTATTTTACCAGTGTTTAATATTCATTAAAACCCTAAAATATCATATTTTTTGCACACTTTTCTTTCATTGGGAATAGTATTTTTCTATAGTAGTGCCGCTGTGATTGAATCAGATCAATTCAGTTCAATGTGACAGCTTTCACTAAAATAACTGTTTATAAACCAAAAAAAAAAAAAAAAAAAAATGCAGTGTCATCTCAGTAATATGATCTATTTATCCACCAGAAAGCCAAGTTTAACTGGGACCCGGAGACAGTTGGAATGATCCATGGATCTT